TGACCCGTGCCCATGGCAGGTACGTGGATTACCCCATCTATGACGTGCTGCAGATGGTCGGCCACGCCAACCGCCCCCTGCAGGACGACGAGGGGCGCTGTGTCATCATGTGCCAGGGCTCCAAGAAGGTGGGCACGGATCCCGGACACGGCGGCATGTCAGTGGGACCAGCCTGCTCAGGGGGTGGAGGAACCTCACACTGGGGTGGCATGGGATAATGGGATAATGGGATAATGGGATGGGATCAGTGGGATAAGTGAGATCAGTGGGCTGGGATGGGATAAAAGGGACTGGGATGAGATGGGATGAGAAGGATGGGATGGGATAATGGGATAATGGGATGGCATGGGATAATGGGATAATGGGATGGGATCAGTGGGATGGGATGGGGATTAAGATGGGATGGGATCCAAACCCTCACTAAGGGTTGGGATCACCATGGGGACAATCCAAACCCTCCCAGAGCGCTGCACTGGGCATTCCCACAACATTTTTGGGATGAATCCTTGAATTCTTTCCCTTTTCCTGCCCGTCCTCCTGCAGGATTTCTTCAAGAAGTTCCTGTACGAGCCGCTGCCGGTGGAGTCCCACCTGGACCACTGCATGCACGACCACTTCAACGCCGAGATCGTCACCAAGACCATTGAGAACAAGCAGGACGCCGTGGACTACCTGACCTGGACCTTCCTGTACCGCAGGATGACCCAGAACCCCAACTACTACAACCTGCAAGGTGGGCACGGGGTCTGTGCTGCAGCAGGGAGCTCCTGTGGCCTGGGAACAGCCCTTGGCAATGTCCTGGGCTGGTAACGGTGCTGGCAAGCCTGTCCTGTCCTGTCCCATCCTGTCCCATCCCATTATCCCATTATCCCATTATCCCATCCCCATCCCATCCCATTATCCCATCCACCATCCCTATCCGACTACCCCCCATCCATTTATCCCATTATCCCATCGTCCCACCCCATTGCATCCCAATCCCAATCATTCCCATCCACCCCATCCCATCACCCTATTATCACATTATCCCATCATGCCATCCCATCCCCATTGTCCCACTACCTCATTATCCCATTACTCCATTTCCCCATTATCCATTATGCCATTACCCCACTATCCCATTACCCCATTATCCCTTCCCATCCCATTACCCCATCACCCCCTTACCCATTATCTCATTATCCCATTATCCCATTCCCCCATTATCCCACTATCCCATTATTCCATTATTTTGTTCTTCTATTATTCCATTATCCCCTTATCCCATTACCCCATTACCCATCTTATCCCATCACATTACCCCCTTACTCCATTACACCCTTACCCCATTTTCTTATTATCCCATTACCCCATTACACCGTTATCCCATCTTATCCCATCCCATTATGCTATTACCCCATTACTCCATTCCCCCATTCCCTATTATCCTATTACCCCATTCCCCCATTACCCATCCCAGTCCCTCTGTCCCTCTGTCCATCAGTCCCTCTGTCCATCAGTCCATCAGTCACTTGTCCGTCTGTCCCTCAGTCCATCAGTCCATCATTTGCTGTGTGGGTTTGTCGCTGTGTCCCTCAGTCCCTCTGTCCATCTGTCCCTCAGTCCCTGTGTCCCCGTGTCCCTCAGTCCCTGTGTCCCTGTGTCCCTCAGTCAGTCTGTCGTTGTGTCACTGTGTCCCTGTGTCCCCATGTCCCTCAGTCAGTCTGTCCCTGTGTCCCTGTGTCCCTGTGTCCCTGTGTCCCCGTGTCCCTCAGTCAGTCTGTCTGTCCCCGTGTCCCTCAGTCCGTCTGTCTGTCCCCGTGTCCCTCAGTCAGTCTGTCTGTGGCCGTGTCCCCAGGTGTGTCTCACCGTCACCTGTCGGATCACCTGTCGGAGCTGGT